TAACCCAAAATACTTTTCAAAAAATGGATTTATCCAAATGGTTGAAAGGGAATATATAGATGGGAAATTTAAAGCTAGGAGATGCTCATTTAATATTTATTGTACTGTATGCGACTCCTTGGTAATTATTTGTGAAAATATTATCGAATGTGCTAATGATCACCCGAATAAATGTATTATTACTAAAATTCATTATAATCATGTACAAAGGAATACAAAAAAAGGAGGAAAAGTAGCATTGCTTAGTCCTGATGAGATTGAAGAGATTTATCTAACATATTCGGTTATATACAGTTGAGGCTTGAATCATTATGGTTATAATTATTCACATGAAGGTAGAAAAACTGTTACATATCGCTTATTTAACAGTGCTAAACTTATCCAACAGGCTTGGCAGAGTTACAGGATGAGATCCAAATCATTGGCAAAAATAATTTGTGAGACGGTGAGGAATGATGGTACTCCTGATGATAAGAAGTATTTAGGTATAACTCCTTATATTGACTGGATATTTGATAAGAAATATCAATTATACTTGAGATTAGCTAATGTAACATATGATATTGTTTTTAAAATATTATACCAGTGAGGCTATAAAGTCATTAGAGGTTCGGATTGGTCTAACCAGCTAAAGTGGTTACAGAAATCCTGAATATTATCATATGGATAAAGATAACATTGAATATCTCATTAGAGTTACAGAATGTTAGAAATATAAGGCTAATTCATTGGATGTAAGAAGAATCTGTGAGCGTGTTGGAGAATAAATTATCGCACCTCTAGCAGTAAAACGTATCACCTGTGATATCTATTAAATTTTTTTCTGTAAAATGGTATTTCGTCTTAATAAAATAATATATTATATTATTGTCCAGCTACATTTTCGATCCTCGCCTCCAAATTTTTTCGGAAAAATGACTCACTAAATCATGTATTATTGCTTTTTATAATCAGTTACTTGCTAAAAAAAGGCAAGTTTAATCTCCTCAGTGAAAAGCGTGGCTGTATATGATGTAATAAGTGGTACACCGCAAATCTGTGTGACTGCTTGTGCGACAAGATATAAAGCTGATTCAACTGTGTACATAATCATCTTTCAACTACGCGATAAAATGTATATACACGAGTATTTTAATCGTAAACATACTGAGTGGAGTATTGCCGGATTTCTAAACGAATGTAACGAAGAACCGTTTCGGTTCAAAGTGGATATATATCTTAAAAGTCTCGTGAATATTATCAATAGTGATCAAGGGAAGAAACGTGAAAAGGCACAAGCTCTATTTGACAAGTATAAAATGGCATGTGAAAATTTATTATTTTTTTTATTGAAACTGTAGACGTGGCGTGGTGGGAATTCTTTTAGCTTCTTTACCATTCAGGTCTTTTAGTCGAGCCACAAGACCAGTGTTAGGGCACAGGCAACCTTTTAGCTTGGCTGTTGTTAAAAGTCTTTTAGTCGATCTAGCATTGGTCCCATTTGAGCACAGGCAACCTTTTAGCTTGGCTGATGTTCAGATGGGATGAGAAATCAGATGAATTATTATTTCTTAATTACGAATATTGCTAATCACCCGAATATTATTACATTGCTAGGAACCTAAACCTGACCACGAATTAGCAAGGAAGTGGGAGAAGGAGCGTTCGCACAAGCAGGTCCACCTCCATCAACCAACATAAACGGGACTGTAAGTGGTCCGATAAATGGTGCATATGTAACTGGCGGAACAGTTGGAGCTGTAAGCGGAACCGGGAATATCAGCGGAGGGACTTTTGGTGTTGAATTATTCGCATCAAAAAAAAGAGATCAAGAGGTAGATATATTTTTAGTTGGGAAAGTGTAGATTGGCAGAACTAATTATTTATATCTTAATCCTTTAGGACTATCACGAGGAGTTGCAGAGAAAACAAGCAAGAATAGACAGTGAGAATCTTCAACCCATCTATAACATTCAAATCCCTCCTCCACGCGTTGTCACTCCTCCCCATCCACCACGAACACCTGAACACCAAATATTTTCTTCGAGTTCCATGGTTTCTCCAATCACAAGAAATGAAAGTGACGAAGAAACTGATAATGATTTTGATTTTGATGCAGATAATCGAGGCCCCAGGAATCTTACATTCGATGAATATGTAGATGGTGATGACGCGAATGATGATGATGATCTGGAGAGAGTTTTCTTAGACGATTCGATTACCTTTGATGAAAGTGGTGAAGATAATTCCGTGAGTCTCTTTCTTTCTATCAGTTTGAATATTTCGATCTTTGCTAATAAATGTGGATTGCAATTTATAGTATATGTTTCGAGAGATCAATATCTCCGCACTATTTTCTTCGTACCGTGTAAATGTATGTCAAACTGCACGAGAGTCAGGCTTTTCAATTGAGACGGACTACCGTGAAATATTGTAAGTTATAACGATTTTGAACACATCTCTATGAGAATCATCATTGACAAGTGTTTGTTGGAAATCTTAGGAGTTTATCCCACATTCTGCTGTTGCAGGCCGACAACTTCTCAGACCTTCAAATTCAAGAGTTTTCCCGGGATACCTTGGAACAATTACAGAAAAATATGCGTAATTCCTATGCAGTGAAGACAAAAGTTCCACCAAATGTTAAAGCATTATCTCGAGAATATATTGAGGCACTATTACTTTATTTGTTATTAATGTATCAACTTTTGAAAGTTATATACCATAAATTTATATATATTATTTTTCCACATTAGATTGCACTTGATGAGGACCTCGGTTTGGAAGATGCTGAAAAGGCTATAGAAGGATCGTTTGCAAAATCTTTCCAAGATACCACTGATCAGAAGAAGTTTGAAATCATGCGATTTATTTTTTTACAGCTGTAGGTTAAAACCTACAATGCTTTTTTATCCATTCTTCCTAACTGTCTGATTAACATTATTTTATTTATTCTAAAGTGTTAGAAATATTCCCATCAATCCACTAAATGACCATCTTCGTGAAGGCACTTTGACTGTTAACATAATAAGTCCGATATTGCGTTCTTTCTTTCACAATGCCACAATACATCCAAGTATATGGCCAAACACAGCTAGTATGAGTGCGAAGGTC